TACGATCTTTTTAATGCGGATTGATATGAAAATATCAGCTACAGTTGAGTTATACTTGGTACAATCACTATCTTGCAAAAGAAAACATCCAATCTTTGATACCGGAGAACTGTTTTTTTTGATAAATATTTTGGTTTTTTTTGTTTGAAAAAGTGATATCATCATATGAAGATCTTAACCTGCATGAACAAATGTATCACTAACGTTGATGATATGACCCCTCAAAATAATTCTTTCTAACACGTACCCCAACAAATGGAAATCTTTGGAAAATGAAAACAAAAACTACTCGAAATATAAAATTTTAAAATATTAGCTCAGAACAGTTCAATCTTTTCAAAAAGAGTAGCAGCTATTCGTAAAGTTTGTCGTCCTGTTTGTGAAATGGGTTAGTCAATTTTTCTTTTTCTTCAATCAACCAAAATATGTGAAGTTTTTGGGTAGTTACATAAGTTTACATAACTGGGTAAAGAAGAATTAAAATTAATTGAACATATATGATGTATAAAGATGGTAGGTATAAAAGGGGGCGTAAGAGCATCTCCAACGCTCGCGAATCTGAATGACTAAACGTTACGTTTATGTCAAAAACGTAACCTGTATTGCTGTTTTTCAGAAAATCGTCCTCCAGCGCCGAGGGCAAGGTCTCACACCTGGCCCACGGTGCGAACTTGGTTTTTGGGAAATGACACACTCCCATGCTCAGGTCCGCAAATTTGCGGACCTGGCTGAATCGCTGAAAAACCAGTATCTCAACGGTTTTTGCCCGAACATTGACTAAAATAATTGTCCATATGTCAAACTCGTTATGTATTGTGATAATAAGATAGGTAGGTGACTGCTCATGTCTGGACAAAAAGGGACCTTGAGTCTCTTTGAGTGACGTGGGTTGAACCTCAAGAGGAATTGAGAATGAAGTTCAGATTGTGCGCTGGAGGGACCTGTCCTGACATGTCGCTGAAAAAGAAATACAGCTGTCCAGCCAAAGAAATAAATTACCTGTATGAGTCATTCAGATTCAGGCGCGTTGGAGATGCTCTAAGAGCATCCCCAACGGTACCTTGTAAACGTAACAAATGTAATATGTATTTTACGTCTACAAGGTGTGGTCAAAAAACAACCATCCACCGGTTGCCAGTTCTCTCACAACTGGCCACACGTGTATAATTTGTTTAGATGGATAACAGGTCTCACATGTCAAGACCTCTATGCCTTGAGGGCCATTGGCAAATATCCAGGACACAGTATTTGTGGCATATTGGACACAATAATACCACGCGCATCCATATCACCAAGCAATCATAGCTTGTGGATCCAAAAATAACAAGGATCATTTGGCTCAGTGTGTGTGTTTATAGTGTTTTTTGGCAGGGGTACAACATTTGAATGCCTTGCTGCATGTGCGCGTTGGAGGTGACCCAATTATTCAGGGCGGATACAGCAAACTGTACATTATGAGAGACACTGTACACCTTTTTGAAATTCAGGACCATTGGAGATGCTCTAAGAATTTTCCAAACATCTTTTTGCAAACAATAATGTCCGGAAAACGTGATGTTTGGACAATTTCACTTGCCTCCGGCCAAAGTGAAATTTTATGGACATTCCATTATTTCAAATGTCTGCAAAAATAAGCTACACAAAATATTGTTCATAAAAATAGATTATGAGGGTCTAAAATGGGTAATTTTACAAACATTATTAAACAACCTTTCTAGTTTGTGAAAAGTAAAGCACACAAAAATGCATCCCCTATTCACAATATAGAACTTCACGAGTGTTCATTCACAAACATTCTAATTCGTGGAAAATGATGTTTGGCAAAGTGAATTTCAGGGGGTGATTGGTTGAATTTCACAGACATTCACTCATCACGTTCACAAACAATATTTGCAAGAGCGCCTTTGCTTCACTTGACTTGAAAGGTATTTGAGTCAAGAGAAAGATTTATCATTAATCAAAAATCTAAAACAAAATGTTGAGAGATGACACAATACAAAAAAGTGAGAAAACAGATACAAACAAATGTAGCAAAGAATGTTGAGAATTGACACAAATCCAAAAAAGTGATAACACAAAGAAATGACTATAAATAAATTTAGCAAAAAGGAAAACAATGATATTCTGAAAGCAAGAATAAGTGAAAAAAGGCAAAAGCACCCCAAACCAAGAAAGAAAAGGAAGAAGAACACTACATCTTCTCCTTCATACACTTTGATTTCCACACCTTCCCACTTGCCTTTGACTCTTGACTGCTGCGCTTGACAGGCTCTTCCAAATCTTGTGCCCCCGTCTCTTTCACTTCAAAAATTTCCCATCCATCTTAGGAGTATTTGGAAACAAAAATTTGAGATAAATGAAGGAATGTAGGATCTTTGAAATGTTATAAATCAAGTATTGATGTTTAAAAAGTATGATTTGAAAAATCAAGGCCAGCGGTGGTTGAAAAGAATGCTTTTGAAAATTAAAAGTAAAAAGAAAACTTGAAGAAAATTTGAAGAGACCAATTTCTGGATAAGATATGAGTGTTGTGTTTGCAGAAGAAAAGTATAATGAAAACTTGAAGATGATTTGAAGAAACCGATTTCCGGATGAGATATTAATGTTGCGTTTTCAGAAGAGAAATATAATGTTTTTGAGAATTAATCCGGAAAGATGAGAGAGAATGTATGTTTGGGATAGTCCAAAAGCAAAGAGACCAATAAAACAAAAAGACAAGCAACACTGTGTCAATATTTGTGTAGCACATTGATGTGCACACACGGAGAGTTTTGAAATAAATCTCAAGTCTTTTGGTTGGATTTAGACTGAGATTGCCGTTGAGCACCCTTTGTGAATAGTGATTTATTCAAAGGATTTGCAGAATCCTTTGTGGTCAGCAGGGGTCAACTGGCTTTCAACCTCCCGGGTGATAAGGGGAAGATGTGCTTGTTGTGGCACCTCTTTGATGGGTCTTTACAGGATCTAAGGAAAGTCTTCCGTGTGTGCACGTCAACGTGCTACAAGGATATTTACATGGCACAACAAATTGTCATTGTTAATCACCTTTCAATGTTCAAAGGCGTTGTCTTTGACCTTTTGAAATGGCATACATCAAATTAATGCATATCCGCTGTTAACAATATTTAGTGACGCTTGGCATGTTTGACCACAACTATGAAGGCTAAACATTGTTAACCACCTTCAGTGGGGCTCGGGACGTTCCAAACCACCTTCAGTGGCATGTAAAACTCTGCAAATATGTCCAGTCAGGCCACCTTTAGTGGCTGACCAAACACATGTAATTCATTGATTGGAAAATTAATAAATCCTGATAGCCCGTTTCGAACCGTGCATTGAATGGTTTGCGGCCTTTTGATTGATCTGTGAGCTGACGCATGTAAAATTAACGACTATGCCGGTTTGTGGTACATTTGCGCACATTGTTTTTTCCAATATGGAATTGTCGGTTGTGTAAACATGGAAAATTCAATATTGTATGCACATGTAATGTATTTTTCAGGACGTTAATTCACAACTGTTTTTTTACAGAGATTCTCAAATTTGACTTTGTCTGTAAAATTTCACTCTCTCAGGTCCAAAGTACAATTTTCCAAACATCACTGTTTGCAAACAATAACGTCCGCAAAACATTGTTTGGAAATATACACAATCCCATAAATAACCCATGGTTGTTCATGTTGTTGGCTTTCTAAATAGGCTAACAAAGAGTGTCAATGAAACAATTCATGAGTTTCATATAGAAAAAGAGAACAAAAGTAACACTGTAAACATTAAACGACTTCCCTTCAATTGAGCAGGGGAAAATTATTATAATTGGTCATAAAGTAATGATCACTGCACACCTGAGCCATAAAACCCACATTACATATGTGCAACAAGCTCAGTAAGTTGTTAGCTATCATGTACATACAGGTCTGCTCAGTTCCCCACTCATCTGAATAAATAAATCACATGTAATACATTATGTAACTTTTTCCAGTCTGACAAAATCCTTCCAAAAATTGAATACATATACTTCCATAGCTACTCAGGCAATACTCTGGACACCATTCAATAGTAACAGAAAGGGTGTTACATGAGGTTTACTTGATGAAATTACAGCTGTTTCAACAAAGATTGATTCTTTTGAAAATCTTGTCAACATGCAAAACCTGTTTTTTCTCTCTCACTTGGTTTTGTCTCTCCGCTAATCAAAACAATACAGAAAAGATTAATCTGTAATCAAGTTTTTTCTCAGTTTTTACCCACTGCGGAGACAACTTCCTTCAAGAAAAAGTTGTCAATCTTTCTTGGAATGGCTACACACAAAAGCTATGAGTCAGTGTATGTAGTCAATCCTTGAAATGCCTTTGTCAAACTGAAAAAAAAATTACAGAAGGTATTACATATGATTTACTCATTCAGCTGAGCCAATAGCTGAGCAGCTCTGTATGTACATGATATCTCCCAATTTACCCATCCTGCTGCACATACATATGCAGTGTGGGCACTATGACTTGGGTATGTGTTGATCAATCCTTTATGACCAATTGTATTTTCAACAATTTTCCCCCACCCAATTGAAGGGAAGTTGTTTAATGTTTGCAGTGGTAATCTGTGTGAACCTTTTATGAGAACTTTAAATTGTGACGCCATAACAATCTTACATAGGTGAAGTGATGCAAGCAAAAAGACAAAAGTGCATGGTAGAAGAGAAACATTGTGTATGTGATATTCATATCTCAATTAGCCACAGAACAAACTTTAGATCACCACAACACCCATACGATAGTAACCAACAACAGGATGAGTTGGTGACCTAGCTAGACTTCAAAGGTGAATTATATATGCATGGTTGAAGTATAAAATTTACAAAAATACTAATGTTTCCAATTTATCGTAGACTTAGTGGATCTCCTATAGCCCTGCTTTGTGCTGCAATCAATGATAACCAAGCTATGTTGATCTTGTTTAGGTCTTGCTTATATCATACTAATTATCACAATCTTGGCTGTGTACTAATTCTTTTCTTCTTTAGTTGTTTTGTCTCTAACTGTGTTTTTTGTATTACTGCGATAAAGACTCAGTGTTCTCAAATTCTTACGAACAGCCTCTCTTATTTTTTCAGTACAGCTAGAACAGACTGCTATATTGTGAGTGTGCTGGTTTTCCACGTAATGAATACCTTCACAGCCCTGGCACTTATACGTAGAAATCCCAGAAACACCACATTCACGATGTTTGTCACATCGAGGACACTTCACCTGAGCTCCACATATCTTGTGTTTAGCTTCGCATAATGTCAAATGTACGCCAGGACATCCATCAGAATTCACGTCAAATTTGGCCCATGCTGTGCCGGCTGCAAAAAGCGCCCATAGATAGAGACACGCGCGGACGTGATTCATTGTTGGTGAATTGTGATACTATATCAGGGAGAATAAATTCATCAGTTGCAGTCTACAGTCAAAAACATAATGAGAACGTCGCTCAGTACCTCGATTTAGTCAACTTACAAGCGGGATATATCTGAATGCCTTGGAATATCTGATGGGATCACCTCAGATGGGGCCAAAGATTTGAAAAAAAAATCTGTCTAATAGTGAGGTTGAGAGGTCAAGGTTGAGTCTGGTGATAAGAGAATCATATCAAGAAGGTAACTTACCTTTGATCGGCAACAATTCTTGTGGCTTAGCTTTGAAAATAAGTTGAGACACAATTGAAAGGGTTTTTTAAATGGTAGTGATGGAAAGAAAAGTATGTGGTAAGTAAAGGATTATATGTAGGGGATCTTTTGCTGAGAATGGACCGAAGAGAAGCAATTACGGGTAAGTATCAATGACTCTGTCTACCCTGCTAATTCAAAAGAAGATGAAAACAACAAGGCTCCTGTAAGTTTTAAGCTTTTCAGTACATTGCTTCATGAGTAATCTAGAACTTTTTCTCTTTGAGTTAAAGCTCCTACGTTTCCGATAAAGAAAGCTACCAACTGGAACCTAACACGGTCCATCAGAAGTTTATGTTGCGGGGTGTGCTCCATCATCCGATGAGGTATCATCGACTTTGTCTTTTGCGCAGTCCTCTTCGCGGCCGATGATGAAAGCTATCAATTGATATTCAAGACATTCTCTGAGCCTTGCGGATGAGCCCTTTTTGACACAAAGGGACATTCAGTTCTGCTCCTAAGAATTCTCCACATGCTTCAAGTTTCCCTACAAGTTTGCTTTCTTTATCCACAACATTTTGTGTCCCGGTACGTTTTAAAAATGGTCTAGGTAAGTAAAGGCTGCTGAACGCTACTGATGAAAATTGTGTATCCCTCTGAGACCGTTGGATCAGAATCTTATTTTGCGGAACATGCTCCATCGCTTGATCAGTCATGATAGAATTTGTTCACTTGAGTTTTTGAATCTCATCTGAGACTTCTGCACATGCTTCAAGTCTCCTGGCTGTATGTGTTTTTTCATCCACTACGTCCTTGAAATGAATCAAGTCGGAGGATCCCGGAAGCTATCACATAAAACATATCTTACATCGCCCTGATCTTTGAATCAGAACTTCATGTTGAGGAATATATGTATGTCACATCGCACGATGCGTTATCATAGATTTCGTCATTTGCGAAAACCTGAGGGATGGAAAAGTATTTCAAATTTACCCACAGAGTCTATTGACACCAGCTCTTGATATTAGAGCTTATGGGGAAAGAGGTTTGTCTCTTGTTCAAATAATAGAGCAATGCATTGGTAATGCGATTGCCTTTGGAGTACTAATAGTAATACTATGCAGAACAATCAACCACTTCTATGGGAAATCAATACGAGAACGTCTTCTCAGGGGCGGGCAATGACTTCACATGTACATTTACTTTTCAAGATAATATTTTTCATCAAAACCAAATGTGACATGAGATAGGCTGCAATCTTCACTGTACCCTTGTCCTGAAATTGGCGAAATCGGTTTTTGAAATGCTCAATATAATGATCTGTTCCTTCTGTGACTTTTTTATTTTGTGGTGTATCTCTGGAGTATCTTGCTTGATTATATTCTAGGGGTAAGGCTCAACCATAGGTGTGAATGGAGTACACGTGTACTAGATTGTCCTGAGCCATTTCGAATTTTCTGACGGGTTGGTTTGCAGGCTTTTTAATGAAAAGCCTCAACAATCAAATTTCAAGGGAAGCAAATCATGTGGGATGTAGTTTTAGATCATCTATTATGGTTCGTGGAGCAAAAGTCGAAGATGCGCTGGGTTCAAAGTGAGATTTGTCTCAGAACATGGATACATAGATGAAATGGGTCATGATGAATGTTCAAGACTGTTCAAGGTCAAGTCAATTTGATACAATTGGATGATCACTAGGTGCAGAAGCTCTCTTGCAACCCAATTCACCCACTGAACCTTGGAAAATCAACAATACTCTGCCAGTATTGAATGATGAGGATGTTTTTTGTGTTTTGCAGATCTGCCTGATCTGCCTGATCCACACACAGCCACAGATTCACCACATGTTTATGCAGCGGAATTTGTCATCTGATTGATTTTCTCAATAGTCTTTGACACGAGACAGGACCTGATAGCTAGGCATCATGAATGCAAGTACATGCTGGCTTGCAAGAAAAACGTGTTAAAGATAAATGTTCCAGAATGTTACTGATAAAACAATAAGACATCAAATCACTTGATGAACACCCCAAAGAAGATTTATAAACAATTAATTTAAGAAAGATTATTCCAGATCCGTCCATGATTTGTTTCGTATTGACTTTATTCTCCATATTGATCCAAGTCCAATGTCAAACTCTTGGTACCGCCCCACTCATTATCACGATAAATACCAACTAAACCACCTGCCTTCTCATAAAATGTCCCCTTCAAACTGATGACCAGAAACTGAAATGCTGACTCAGCCTTGTTACGAACATAGTCGGCAATTCGCCCCACATTGGTGTTATCAAGTGCAGCATCTACTTCATCTAAGACGAAAAACGGTGAAGGTTGATAACTGTATAGCACACGTGCCACAGTCAACATTCGAACTTAATATCTTTGATTCAAAAGATTGGACAAGATTTACCTATGAATAGCAAACAGCAAAGCCAAAGCAGCCATAGTTTTTTCCCCGCCTGACAACTGATCCATATCTCGAAAACGCTTCATGGGGGGCATAGCATGGTATTTGATCCCATGCATATAAGGCTCCTGATAAAAGTGAATCGATCCACATCATCATCTAGAAACAGACCGAAGAGAGAAGATCGAGGTAACATACCTCTGGATCTTCCAAACTCAAGTAAGCCACTCCACCCATCGGACTAGCTTTACCCTTTGTCAGCTCCTTATAAACACCATCAATTTTCTCGGATATATGAGTATAAGCTTTTGTGAATAATTCTACTCTCTGATTCTTGATTTCGGTAAAATCGTCCTTGGTTTGTTTCGCCCGTTTCCGTGCGGCCTCAAACTCTTTTTCATGTTCTCTTAATCTCACCTCTACTTCTTCCAACCTATCACCGAATATCCAGATCTTGTGTGAGCATCCTACTCATCGGTCAACCAGAAATGAAAAAGCTTTTCCTCACCTTTCAACAGATCTCGTCTTAGGAGCCATGGCTTCCATTTTGGACTTCAGAAGTTCGATCTTTTCTTCCAGTTGACGCTCCACCTCTGGGCCACCATCCTAGATTGATCACGTCAGCATGTTAATCTTTTTTATTGTATAAAGCTAACCGACCTCTTTCTCGTCATCTTCTAAGCCCTCGTAATCCAGTTCAATGCCGTAGTCATCTACAACCAATGCCTGTTGAGTTTCCTCCTGTCCATCGACATCCATAGGCACGACAGGCCGGACAACCTAAATTGAGGAGAAAAAAATTGTGTTTAGACAGTCACTGACGTAACTGTGAAGAGACAATACTTGTATATTTACCTCATCGATAGGGGCCTTTCTAAGATCACCTTGCAAGAGAGGCAAATCAATACTTTCCAGCTTACATCTCCTATAGATACTAATCCTTTCGGAAGCAAGCTTCTCAATCTCATCATTCTGAAAGTCGTCGAAGAATTCGTACACTTCAATCACGGGAACACGTCACAAGGCAGAGAAAGGTGACATACGCGTGTGCCAATTTCTTTGATGATCTCATCCAATTGCCTTGAGGCTTTGTTTGATTTCTTCTTTGCATCAGCGACCGCTCTGGAGGCCTCATCTTGTGCTTTGACCAAATCAGAGTGTTGGCGTTCAGTTTCTACAATCTCATTATCGAGAATCTTGATCTCTTCTTTAAGCTCTGCCATCGTGACCATTAGTTCTTCCAAATTTGCTTGTGTTCGTTGTGAAGAGGTTTCGAGCGTAGACAGTCGCTCAATTAAGCCATTGAGCTGCCCGGTTTCGAAACTTATTCTGCAATCATAGAAAAGCCAACACGTCATGAATACAAGATGATGGTTCATCTCGCGAACAAAAAGAAGACGGGAACTGACTGATGTTTAATCCTTGAAAGTGTCGTTTCCAATTGTTCCTGTTCTTCACTAGTCTTTTGATGGACTTCAAGTTGATATCCTTCATATTCTCGAATGTTTTGAACTCCGATCCGCTTACAAAAGGAAGCAAAGATCTTGTCCTCCGTTTCGTCAATCACAGCTTTAGCCTTTTCCAATTCCCTCTTGGATTTCTCAACTTCAGCTCGCCCCTGCGTATGTCGAACAAGCCCCGTCAGATTAAATCTAAGTATCAACATAGCCATAGCCACACGTGAATTTGATGACCTACCTTATCTACATCAGCCTGCGAGGTTTCTTGTTTCTTAGCCAGAACTTTCAACTCCTCCATATATGCTTTCAACTGATCATCTAGGACACGCTACATATCAAGCCCATATAAGCCGTCAGGTGATACGAAACGGTGTGGAGAGCTAAGAGAAGTTATCAGATGTACCAAATCATCTTTCACAAAGGTAAGCTCATTCTCTAAGCGGGAGACTTCGGCGATCAATCCTTCATCTGTATTCCGGGGTTGATTTTTGGCCGCTTCCTTGATTTCACTCAAGATCCCTTCTCGTGCACGCTTCAAAGCTACATAGAAACTCACATAAGAGATGTGTTGAACGTTCGGTTGATCAGGCAACACTCACCTTGAATCTCCCGCTCGTCAAATTTCCGTGAGTTGTCAAGTCCACTCACACCTCCGGTGATATTTCCTCCCTTGTGGATGATCGTGCCTTCCAATGTCACGGCTGTGAAAGATGGCAGCGTCAGTATTGCTGAGGATGGTGAAGACAATACCTCAGTCTTACCTTTGACTTGTGTACCTTTGTTATAGACCACATCTTGAGCGATTTGAAAAGAATCGCATATGATCGCACTACCACAAGCAAATTGCATTGCACGCTCGTATATTGGTTCGTATTTGATAAGATCAATAGCGAGTCTTGCACCCTTCGAGAGGTTGCGAGAACGTTCGTCAACTGGTTGAACAACTATGGAGTCCAGTGGTATAAATGTCGCACGCCCAAGACGCTGAGATTTGAGGTACTAAGTAGAGTGCGATCAAGGTTTTCGTATTAGAACAAAGATCTGACGACCATTCTCTCAAGCGAGACACACTTACCTCCACGCAATCGATCGCAGTTTTTTCAGTGTCCACCACCACAGCTTCAAGATTTCTGCCTAGTACCACTCTTACAGCCGTTTCGTGCTTTCTCGCAATCGGTGAACATAATTCGTACAAACGGCCTTGTACACCTGGATGACATGTATTTAGTATGTGATGAACACTGATATATGTCAAGAACTTGTCCCACCTGGAAAGATCCGTCGTAATGTCTCTCCGATCGCCCTATTTCGAGCTTCAGCATCGGTCTCTTGTTTTGCTGCGCCCGCCTCGTTTAATTGTTTTAAGCAATCTTGCAACTTTTCTTTCAATTCAGTCTCGGTTTGACTAACGGCACGTAGAAACAATGGGGTTTAAAGAGTGAGAATAATTGAAATTGATACAAGACTGAATACACGATACATACGCGTGACGTGTACGCTCAGCTTGCACTTCGTGCAACTGCTTCCTTGTTCGAGTCAATTCTTGGTTCAACGTATCTACCTTATTTTCTAACTGAGGACAACGGACGATTTGTCAAAAAAGTAAACCTTGACATGAACATAAATTGAAGCAGACCATTGTCTTCTTATTGAACGCATCTTCATAATCTCGGTCAAGTTTTGTATGGCGATTCTGACACTGTTGGAGGTGATCTTCATGTTGCAGTAGCTGATTCTGCTGATTTTTCAGCTTTCTGGCCAGGTTCTTCACATCTTCTCGCTCACGTGGACATTTTGTAAGACAATCTGCTTTGCTATAGTATCAATGGAGATAAGTGACAAGATCCAGGTAATCAATTCATGGGACTTACATCGTATGGTATTCTTTCTGATCCTCTTCTGATAGGGTCATCACAGGTGAGAGTGCCTGCTTTTTGGCTGGACCAGACTAATGGATTAGCAAGAGGACGAAGTTGCGGATTGAATGAGGTATATAAGCATACCAAGCAGTTCCGTCTGCGCCTCGGTAACAATGGCAAGTTTATGCTGCAACTTTTTCAATTCGACCTCTTTGATAGCTTGTTCTTTGAGAACCGAGGCTTTGCTGGTTTCCTCCTTAGATTTCTTCTTCTCCAAATGTTTGACTCTTGCTTCACATTCCATCAATCTTGGTAAATAGTTGTCTTCTTTTTCTTTGGTTTTGGCCTTCAAACTACGCTCAGCTTTGATGACATCTCGAGTAGCTTGTGTATATTCTTTTCGAGCTTGGGTAACGTGTTGGTCAAATTCATGTGATTCAGCCTGTAGATCGGCCAGACCATCGTTCAGAAGTTTGATCGCTTCTGAATTCTGGTTGATAGAGTGCTCGATATGAAACAACTTCCAAAGTAATAGATGAATGATTTCTTGGTCCTGATTTGCAAATGGAAAAACGTGTAGCATGAGCCATTATCTGATAAAGGGCGAAGAAATTGAACATACCCGCTCTTCACATAAGCGGTCAAATTCCTCCATCTCGGCTTTTTGTTGCTTGAAGTCCTTAATCTCCCCGTTGATAACGCGGCGTTTGATTAATTGATCGTTTGACTGTTTACTGGCATCTATATGAGCCAATCTTCGTTTCTCGTATTCGGCTGCCAAGTCCAAGGAGCTGGATAGAGTAGTTAGGATCAGTCATTTGGGAATGAGATTGCGGAGAACAATGTAAATGGCTGACCCACTGATCTGATCAATTAGCTTACTCAAAGCATTAGGATTCTGACTGGCAACGGCTTCAACATCTCCTTGGAATACTAAAAAGTTCTTTGCCTTGACGAGAATATCGTATTGCTCAAGAGTGGATTGGTATTCTTCCCATTTTACCACCTTGTCATTGATTGAATATGCAGATGATCCCGATTTTTCGGATGCGACTGTCTACAGTTGTGAAAGTAATTGTTATACACCCTTCAGATGGATTTTATTAAAAACTGTGAGGATGAAGATGACGCTGACAATTGTTCGAGAAAACCGATGTTGGTCTCCAGTCTTGTGATCAATGTAAATCGCCGTGACTGCCGCTTTTTTTGGAGCTTGGTTTTCGTCTTCACGATCTCCACCCTTGTATATTAGATCTCTAAGCTGGGTAGATCTCAATTGACCTGACCGAACACCCAGCACGAAAGAAATCCTAACAAGAAGATGCGACTTGATAAGTTTTGCAGAAGGTGGGTCGAGTCATATGGAACAATAACTTGCGCGTCCATCAAGTTGCTTTTTCCCGCTCCATTAGGACCGATTACCGCTGTGAAGTTCTTAAAAGGACCGCTATGGTTTCATTCCATGACATCCATTAGTCGCGAAAGATTGAGAAAGTATTTCACAGAACTAGAACTAACATAGTTTGGGTACCTAGATTGAAAACCCAGATTCATATCCATATCAGCACTACGGGAGATATGCCACACAAGCTCGGTAAACTGACCTTTGTAAGACCTAGATTTTGAGCATCGCGTGGACGCGTGACAGCGCGAGTGAAGTTCCAAGCATATTTGTAAGTTTCAGTTTTGATGAATGTTGAAGTTGATAGAAATGATATCAGATAATAAGTGACTGACTTGAAATTCACAATCTCGATCGAATGCAAAGGCATCCTGTCGAAATATAATTCGTTAACTCGTTGATCAAGTTTGATGAAAGGATAAAAGGTCAGTTGGTAAAGTATGTGGCTGATTGAATGCGGTCCTCTTTGAGACTTTCAGACTTGGTTTGCTCGGGTCACGTGCTTCGGTCTAACCTGGCTATACGCATACATTTTGGTGACCCATAAATTCGAAACATGAATCCAACCTTCACCTCACCAAGCTTCACAAAAACTTTTTATCACGGCACCCTCAATATTGCAAAACTGATCTGGTTTTAGAAGACCTGTTTTTTCATAAGAACCCCAACTCATCAATATTCAAGAAATATCATCTGAACAGAACAAAGGATGTCATATTCTTATGCCCACCTGAATATTTCCACACATTTCTGACTTCAGACTAGATATTCGTGATCACGAAATTTAATAATTCAGTAGAGGATCTTCATACCTCTTGGTAGCCAGAAATACCGCTGATTGAAATCATGGTACCATTCTTTAAGCTGACAGCACCATAGCAACTTATCTGTTAATCCAATTCTCATGAGTTTCGGGCACAAGATCATAATCCGAAATTGGCTGCAACCCCTTTTGAAAAACTGATCAAATTTCTGATCTGCCATGAATTTTCCCCTACCAAGAAATTTTCCTCTGTCATTTTCAAGAAGACGAGACTATTTACCCATCAGCTTTAAGATTATGGCTTGTTTTACTGAAGATTGAACAAGGTGAATTCCAAACATTAGTTTCAAGAATCCAAAGTAATTAAGCTGCTTGTGATCATCATCTATGATCAAAGTAAACCAGATTTGACAAATAAATTGTTAACTTCAGTGAAGACCAGGAATCTAGTTTGAGATTTGTTTTACATAATCAAGAGCGTTATCTCCATCGGTTTTCAAGTTTTC